GGAGAAAAAATGTTGAGAGCGGTGGGGGGGGGGGGGGGGGCGGCGAGAAGGGGTGGTGTCTAAGCTGAGCATTAAATTTCCACTGAGTGTAACTTTCTGTACTTTTCAAAATCTCAACCTTATCTGTGAGTGAAGGTGATGGAGATATTTTGGGAAACATTATCTGATGAACTAGAAGTGGAGAGTTAACATCTTGCCCGTGTGGTTCATCTCTCTAACTGTAGAAACAATGGCACAAACCAATTGTCTTGTCTTTGATCAACTTTACAACAGCTTGAAGAAGGTCTTATGAGTGAAATGTCAGGTCTGATCTTATTTTTTCTTTTTGGTGCTTTTATTTTGCAAATCCTTTTTATTGTGCAACCTTCATGCTGCCATAGGAGCTACTTGGTCGAAAGAATAACAGGGATATGTGTGAGAAAGATTTGAAGTGAGGTTTAAAACGCTGTGTTTTCAAGTGATGCCTAATTAGATTGGAGAAGAGTTATTTCAGTTGTAAAAGGTGCATTGTTAAAGAAGGGAGAAACAATGTATACGAAAGGTAAAGCAGCGGAGGGGAATAGGAAAACTTTGGTTGATTACCCTAGCTGATTGCAGGGACGATCCAGTCATTTTAGAGCATAAAGCTTAACCATGAGGCAGAGATCAAGTTTGGCATCGTGACACCTCTGTTCCATTCCACTCCACAGCAGGAGGTGAACAGGGAGGTCTCAAACCTACATTTAACAAACGTAGGGAAGATACCACTGTAATAAAGGGGAGTAACTGTCTTTCATCCATATGAGAAGTGATAATGGTTATTTTAGAAATAGAGTATGAAGCTGATATTGAAAAGGTTCTGTTCTTTAAAAGCCAGTCATTGACCTTTCATGATCAAAGCCCTGCAGAAACCCCAAATGGAATTATAAATTGTTGATTTTGTGTAATGTATTATCCTCTTATTGAATCAAAATAAGAAATACTATGAAACTCTCTTACATTACCAGTGTCTATTTTTGATAGGTATAACACACTTTTGCACATCTTCTGTTTTTCCCTTTGATCTGGTGTAGGATCTGATAGCTTTCTGGGATCAGACTTGACTTCCTTTTCCTGTTGATCCCATTGTTTACCAAGAAAGACATTTTTTCCTAAATTCTGAAAATGCCTGCCCTACCATCCATCAAAATCTGCCCATGTGGGCATTGGAAGGATGGAAGTGCTAAGTAGCACTTCTCCTTTAATGGAAAGGATTCCATTGTCTCCCAGTTTGCCTAGATATTTCCTCACTTTTTGTGTCATGTCAGATATGGTTTGTTGTGGCCGAAGTCTCTAGCTCTTCTCTGAGTTTAGGTCTCAGTGAAAAACCCCATAGGAAATACTGCAAGATAAGTCCTGATCCAACACTGGCTTCTGTTGAGTGCAGTCCTGGGCCCCAGGTGGAGCTTCACTGACTTTGGTGGGGCCACTTCAGATACGTGGTGGCTCCTGATTGCTCCTTTGCAGAATTACGACTCGCTCTTGAGGACACCTCAAGAAATATATAACGTTTGGTATTTTCATTTTAAACAGTAACTTAGAGGTAAGGTAGAAATGACTTCCTATTCCCTTAAAAAAGTACTTTAAGATGATAACTGAGTTATGTGCCTAATATAAGTCACCTCAGAAATATAATAAGCATATTTATAAGCTTGTAGAAGATGAACAGCTACATGTTGTCTTTCACTGCAGGTCAGTATATCAGGGTGAGGGGTGACCAGTTTCACAGCTTTGATGGAAAGTCACAGAAATTTCTCTAGCCCTAAATTAACAATCTGTATAGGTTAATCTAAATCTGAATTTGCAGTAGACAGGAGAGTAACAAGCAGGATATGTACCTTCCTAAGTCTTTCGATTCCCTGGACCAGTGGGAGTGGCATGTTGCTCTCCAAGAAAGAGAAGGCTTGGCATTTGAGCAGTGTTCACAGTGGCTCCCAAGGTGGTAGCTGAGCTGCTCTCTGGGTGCCCTTGGGTGTGTCTAGGATTTGTGGAAAAGAATGAATTGCAATTAACAAAGACAGATAACTAGTCTTCAGCTTACAAGTAAAGCTGAGAGAGGAAATACAGGATATGAAGGTTTAAGTCATGATGTCGTTGACAGTGTTTTAGTTAAATATTATGAACATCCAAATTTTCTTCATTGAAATCTCACATAAGAAGCCTGAATAAATATTTCATTAATTTCCAAAACTTCTTTATTGCATAGGGTATCAATGAAACGGCCACGCTGTTTTAATTCAGAGGCAGAAAACAAACTCCCCTTAGACCTCCTGCCTTGTATTTTGACATTCATATTTCCATAGGATGGATTTTTTAGTTACAGTTTTTTTTGAAAATAGATATGCCTTCTAAAATATCATGGGTTTGTATGTATTTATTTTCATTTAACTTGCATTATTATAGATCTCAGTGTTCTAAAAAAGTTGTGTTCTGCTATTTTATGTTTTAGAGAATACTGTTATTTATCCTGAATTTCCCATACATTAGTAGTAATTGCAAAGCATGCGGTATATTTAGGATCAATATAAATGTAAAGGCATACTTTGCAGTCTTGACATGTTTTCATAACTTAATGATGCTGTGCTCTTTTGTTGGTAGTTTAAGCAGAAGATGAAATGATTTAATTAATTTTTTTTTTAACTAAAGGAAGGCATTTTTTCTGTATTGTAGCACTTTTCTAGACCCTGAAACTCGAAGAGCAATGGGAGAGCAAGCAGTAGCTCTTGCCAAAGCAGTAAAATATTCCTCTGCTGGAACAGTAGAATTCCTTGTGGACTCCAGTAAGAATTTCTACTTCTTGGAAATGAATACTAGACTTCAGGTAAGAAAAACAGCTCTACAGATTCAGAAAAGTGTTATTTATAAAAACAGAACATAACCTCCTTCCATACTTAGGGGTCTGCTCCTGCAAAGACTTACGCATAACTAACTTGATGCATGTGAGCACTTCACACTGAACTTGAAAGATCTACTCACTTAAATAAGCCTGCGTATACAAGACTTTACAGCAGTGAGCCCTTGCACAGCACTCAAGTAAACGTTCAGAGCTTTTGCTCTTTGTTACACTTGACCTAAAGACCTTGCAAGAGGTCACTGTTAAGTGCCACTGTGAGTTCACAGTAAGTGGCTAGTGACTGTGCTCTGATGCTTTTCCCCACTGGTCCCTGAAGTTTCTTTTTTTATTTTTTATACTTTGATCGTTTGCTGATTTTCTCTAGGAGGATGATTAAAACTATATGTGTATATTAGCAATAAAAACACTAGCAATCTGCATATGATTGAAATTGTGACTGAAATGCAACTGTGTAAAAAGCATGCTGACATGGTGTAGGATTTTTGTAACATCTCATACGGTCAGTAGTAGATGTTATAATGTATACTGCAAATGAATGGACAAACAGTGTTTTATGGAAAATCCGTTCTACCTATTTGACTGTTATAATGCATTTCTGGTCATAATCCAAGAAAACAGGGGGTATATAACTTGAAGTCTGGATATCATTCTCAAAGATGGGAAGAAAGTTCAGCTTGTAAGAAGGTCAATTCCGTCATCTTTATCCTCCTTTTCTCACTTTGTTAAATAATGCCAGAAAGACTGAAATGTAGAGTCAAGCCACAAAGCTTCTTATTCTGTTTTAGCTACGTTTTGTTAGGGATGTGTCCTGCCTGCTGCTTGTACATGTGGGCAGTGATAGAGCATAATGAGATCCTCGTAATTCTGACGTCTTTGCATGACTTTGTATAATGGCTGGGTGAATTTATCCTTTGGGTAAAGAAGTGAGAGAGGATTTGGGGTAGGAATGGAGAACGAGGGTGTGGCAATCTTCCCCTGTATCAGGGGAAGACTGCTGGTAAAATTTGTCTTGCCTTGCAGGGCAGCAGTGTTTTTGGAATTAGTCATGATAGTTATATTTCACATGGTTTTGCTAGCAGTTTGCTAGGCGTAATCTGATCTACCTTAGATTCAGTTAGAGAGGGTGGTGGTGAATGGCAATGCATAGTTCATTAAAGTATTATGAAGAATTTCTGTCTCTTTGGTCATATTATTTACACTTTTCCCAATCTTACAGTTTTTGAGAGAACACTTTTTAGTGACTTTCCATGTTCTTGTTTACATAGAAGAAAATTAATTTATGGTTTTCTGCATAACCCACCAGACAGTCAAAACCATTTCCTTGCTGTAGTATGTTATTGTCCATCAGTTCCTAAATGGAATTAGCGATGGAGTATCCTTGGAGGTGATTCTTTTTGCAATTTGTTTTTAAGATGTTATCTTTGCTGTGTTGTGGTGTCTTCCCCCTGCAATGCGTAGTGGTAGGTGTTCAAAGTCCCAAACCTCAAGCTTGCTTAATTGTAGAGGTCTCCACATACATGGTAAGAAAGCTTTCACAATTCCATCTTTAAGGACTCCTTCTGAAATATCACCTAAGCAGTTTGACAATCCCCTATAATAGCAGACTCATTCTTTCCAACTCTTAAAGAAATTTACTAATCTTAAATTACAGTACTTGTGTAGATATTCTCTAATTCCTCTATCCCGACTGTGTATTGTCTCTAATTAACATTTCAGCTTGAGGCTGGAGGGTAGTAATTTTCTCTGATTCTTCCCCAGGCTTACCTGATTGATCTGTCACTTCTCCCAGGTCTCAAGCTTTACTTTCTGTTCAGCTAACAGTTGTACAACTGATATCTCGTTCTTGCTCCCTTCTATTGAGAGCCAAACATAGAAATTCTAATGAAGCTTGTCTAGATTTAACTTCTGAACTAGGAGAGTCTCCAGATGTCCCTGTATTGCTTCAGCCTTTTCCTTTTGCATCTGCTAACTGTGAACAGTGGCTAACAGGCTCACTTCCCTTGTTTTTGCTGAACACTCCACGGTTGGAAGAACTTTCCTAAATGATGCTCCTAAAGTCTTTGTCAGTGTGCATTACAGACACAGCTACCTGTCAGCATCATCAGAACATGTCTACTAAATTATGCAATTTCCTGTGCCTGTTTTAACATCTCAGCTATCTCTAATCGGATCACTGTAGCCTTTTTTACTTTAGATCCAGACTTCAGAAGATACTTCTGTAAAGCTAACTAAACCGTGTCCAATACTTTGCACTGCCTGCTGATTTCTCCTTTCCCTCCCTTTGGTGTATCTGTCAGATATCTTCCAGTGTTTTTTGTAAATGATTTTGCAGTAATTGAGAGTTGTATTATTATTTGGCTGTCTTTTTGGGGAACTCTTTGGGAATATACCTTTTCTGCTATATAATTCTGCAAAAAAGTGTAAGTAGCACCTTACAGGAAGTTTATATTTTATTTAATTTTTGTGTTAAGTGTTGCTGCAATACAATATGAGGTTCGAAAGTGAAAAAACTTGGTGAATCAGTTCCATTGTGTCCCTTGCATGCTACACAAATCTGTTACAGATGTTTCACTCCCTCCAAGTGATTCAGCTACAATAATTTATTCTTTGCTGTTGGCCACGTTCTTTTTGTTGTATCTGCTGCTCTACCATCTTTTAGAGGCTAGCTGATAAGTATGAGACATGAGACTGAGTAATTGTTTAGCAAAACTAGTTATTCTGTGTTTTCTTGTGAAAAGCAAGAAACGTCTGCCCTAGCAGCTACAAGAGAACTTCTGTACATTGTCATTTAGGGCACTTTGGGAGTGGTTTTCAGGCAGCTACCACGGTTAGGATTGTTGAGGCAGACTAGATGTTGAATATCTGATTCTTTATAGCTGCTCACCCTGCATTGTGCTTTGTGTTACCTAGTTGTCATCAGCCTAATCAAAGGCAGTCATAGTCCAAAATAGCCAAACAAGAGCTTTGAAATAAGTAAAAAGTTTCTGACCCCTTAGGTTGATAGCATTTTTAACTTCCAAATTGTGTCAAAATCTCCTTATCACACTACCATCAGAAATGCCAGCTTTCACCAGGAAAGTCTCTTCTGCTTTTCGCTGGAAGACTAGAAATGTTCCTTTTTGACTCTACATGAATAGAGTCTACAGTCTGTAAATAAAAAATACCTGTCAGTGTATGGGTGTGCAGTGTGGCTAAGCTTCTTACATGTGAATCAGCTGGTGACAGCAAAGGGAGAATATCACATATTCTAGAGGTTTGCAGTACGTTGAAATGAGAAGCATCTCTTGGCCTGAGGAGAACCAAAAAAAGTGCAATGAGCAGTGTGAGGAGAGTACTTACCCTGAATACAGTTTGTCTGTCTGGCTCAGGTCTGCTCCCAACCTTCTGCCTCCCTCACTCATTGTGTGATTTAAATAACAAGTGAGCACTCCCTTCTCAAAACATGACCAAATTTCCTTAGAGTAATCTGACTGAAAAGATCATTTGTATGGACTGTATTCAGCACGGTGGAGTTGAGAAATATGGTAATTTGAGTAGCAATGTGTTTTCTCCTCATGTGACTGAATATTTTTGTCATAACTTTTTAGGGAATGAAAATTAATTTTGTAGAACACTCTGATGTGTTTATAAGAGATTTATTGCAAGCCAATGGCATATCTGTATGTTTTTATTTTACAATTAATTGTAGTGAGAGTATTTGTTTTACGTAAATGTTTTCAAGTTCTTTGAAAGTAACTTGAGTCTAAGGCATAAGGCGAATGTAAATAAATTTCTATACACACATAAAACACTAGCCAACGTTAAGATTTTTGTTCATTGCTTTCAGTGTTTTCATCAGATTTTACTGACCTCTCGGAAATGTTATATCCCAGAGCTTTGTCTTTGTACGAAATGGGCTGTGCCTAGTGTAAAAGACAGAGGAAGAATTTTTACATGCAACACGTCTCTTTCTACCCCCCTTTTCATCTATTTGTCCACTCATGAAAGTATAAAGAGCACAGCTGGGAAACGTCTACAAGTATGTAGAAATCCTGTTGGTGATTGTCTGGAGCTCCACTGCTTAATAAACTCCTGGTTCTAACAGTCTCTTAATGGTATCTGTATTCTGTTGCACATCATTAGGCAGCACCTGCTACACGTTTGCTCAGTGAAGGAGAGAAGTGCTGGAAAATATTGCAGCTGCACTATATACACAGTAGCAGCAAAATATAAATAGCGAAGTGATGAGCTGAGTCTGGATTGCCAGCTAAAACCGCGGAGAGGTGGTGACTTTTGGTATCCGTAGCAGACCCATGGGACGGCAAGAGGTGGTTTTGTTGTCTTGGTGTGCATAACTGCCCGGAGGATGAATGGTGATAGGTGGGCAGGAGTGTGGTGGCAGTGAAAGGGGCTGTCAGGAGTTGGAGGAGTAGATTTCTGCGAAGTCTGAATGGCGGAATTTCAAAGTAAAGCCTCAAGCGGCTGTTTCTGCTGTTTGCCGAGACTCTTCATATTTCTTAATACTGGAATCTTGTTTTACTGTGACACTTTGCTTCAGTCATTTTAAATAGGCTAACGAACAGTGTCAGATGGTAAAGACTTTCAATTGCTGCTAACCTGGGCTGGATTTGAACTACTGACCTAAAGGTGAAAGGTCTCTTATCCCATTACCAATCCCCTAAGCCCACCAGAATCCATTCTGCACACAGTTTATACCAGCTGTTCATGGCCATTTTTAGAACCGAAAGAAAAGGTGATTTTGCTGCCAAACAACACTTCTTCACACAAGAGGGTCAGCCGACAACAGTTAACCAGATTTTTGCCACATTCTTGCCTCCTAATGCAACTTCCATTATGTAGCTACTGGTTGTCTGCTTTTCAGGCTTCCTAAAAGAACTACAGAAAAGCATTGCTAATTGTTGTTGACAGAAGAGAACGACATTGTTTGTGTAAGTCATTGAATCTGAAAGATGCCATTAACAGTGCTG